TTTTATATATACATATATATATATGTATACTATTTTTTAAATAAATTTACAAAGTTCAACATATTTGTTGAACATATGTTCCAGAAACTATTAAACATGTAAATGATCAAAGTATAAAGTTTTGTTTCTGCTAGTCACTAGCAGAAACAAACTTTATATTTTGATCATTTTAAAAATGCAAACAATGCAAACTAGCAGCTAGTGATATAATTAGATAATAAATAGTTTGAGTTTAATCAAAATATTAGTTTAGTCAGAAACATTTAAAAAGAGCAAACAGACGAATAGAATGTAATGGATAGGTTATATTTAGGGAATTAAAAGCTTTTAAATCGTTTTTACAGATCCACTCTTTTCCATTGATTTTTCTATATATTATGCAAGCAAAATGACTGATGTTAACAAAGTTTACCTACCGTCAGATATAAATAAAGAAATAATTACATGTTTAAATGCAAAAATATGGCTTTATTGTTAAGCATCAACCTCATTTTTTAATCATTGATATTTTTTGATTTTGATTTAAAATTGTACACTTGCAATATAAACAATAATTTCATAATATACATAATAATAACTTATACTTACAATACCTATACTTGTAAATACTTGTAATATAATAATTATGTTTATAATACTGATAAAAATTTTTATTGATATAAACTTTTGCATTCAAACTTTAGTTATAAAACTTTAATTTAACTTAATAACTTTTACATAAATAACAATAACTAAAAAAAGATGTTAGTTATTATATAGATTATAGCCATATGCTTATTTATTATAATTGAGTTACAGTAAGTTAAACAATATAAAATGTTAAGTTCCAGGCAATAGGTCTTATATGATATGTATCTTATGTATATCTTGTATTTTGCAGCATGTTAAAGAATATTTCTGCATGGGCACTCTGACTGTTGACAATATTTGCATATTGATATGAGTAAAAGTGACTTCAACAACCAGAATGTGTTTTTGATAAATATTGATAATAACAGGTTAGTAAATATAATTATAGTAATAATGGCAATAACTTTTTATTATTAGAATTGGTGAGAGACTTATGTAAAATAGAGCTACATTAACTTTGGGGGACAAATATAATAACTTGAGTAAATATTACCGTTGTTTATAACCTCGATTAGAGTTATGTAAGTAAATATCATTTTTATCTAAAGAATATTCGGCAAAAGTCAGTAATTCCTAAGTATTAAATATTATAAGAAAACATGTTTAAAAAAAAAAATTTTAATGTATCATAAAATAAAAAAAATAAGTATTTGAGTATAAAAAAAAACACATTTATTATTATAATGTATATACATCACATTGACTATGTTGTCTATAAAGTAGGGGTTGCAGCTGATATTTCAGCTTCAGCTATAAACTCATTAGCTTCAGATTAATGCTGAAGCTGATCAAGTCAGTTTAATCATCTTGATAGCTGATAGTTAAAGAGAATAATACTCCATAAATATTTTATATAAAATATATTTTTATATAGGAATTTATTCAATGAAAATCTAAAATAGTGACAAAATTTAAACATACATGTAATTTTTAAGTAAAATTTGCCAAAAGTTGTTGCTATTTATAAATGTTGCCATCAGAGCCTAGGCCTAGGACTTACAATATTAGGGGACCCAAATTATGTTTTTAGAAATTTGTTTAAAAAGTGGTGCCCAAAAATCTAATTCCATTTTTAATTTTCTTAAGGGGACCAACTATCTTTTGTTCATAAAGAGTACACTTTCCAAGTATTTCATAGGTTAAAAAAAAAAGGAAGATAAAACGATAAAAAACTTTTTTTTTTTTTTTAAAACATATTTTTCGTCAGAGTGGATTTTTTTTGCTAGATGAGGATGTTTGTCTAATAATGTAGCTGCATCCGAACATATTAAATTTCATATTAAACTTGACTGTTAAGACGGCATATAATGTTTTTACAGAAAGTTGCAACTTCTCACTGCTCCAATAATCATTTCTTAGTGAAAATACCTTTTCAACAGCAGCATTAGTGCCTGGACAACATAAAGAAATTTCTGTTAAAACTTTTAAATTTTCATTTGGGATATGTTCTACTCTAAAATGCCGAAAGATTTCTACCCATCTTTTTTCAAGTTCTATTTCCTCATTGTTCCATTTCTTCAATTTTTCTTCATTTAAAAATAAATTTACTCTTCCAATTTTTTCAAAAAGAAAATTGTCATTAATAACAATATCTTATACTTCCTTTATTACAAATTCGACTGCTGAAGAAACTTTTTTTCATTAAATGTTACTATTTATAAGGGTCCATTTAAAATAATTCAATGCTCTAAAGTTCATTATCCATTCTTCGATATATTCATAGCAAATTTTATAAAAAATTTTAACTTCTTTTAAATTTTTTTTTTTTTTCCGGGATTGAAATCTTTCAAAGCGGTCAGTTTATAGGCTTTAATATAGCCTTTAATATTGTATATAGTAGCGTATGTATATATTTTTAAATTTAAATTTGTCTTTAATTTCTTTTTTTATACTTTTCTGCAAAAAAATTTTTCTGTCACTTTATCCTTCTGAACTTACGTGATTAAGTTTTTGTTTTCTCTTACATATTTTCTCACTCATCTTATCTCATCCGTTCATTTTCTCTTTTTTTTTCATTTTTCTTAGCGTTACTCTTTTATATTTATGTGTTAATTCCAACTTTTTAAATAGTATTGTTCCTTATACTTGTATTAATGTAGTTTTCTTTCTTTCTTATTATTTGTTTATTTTATGAAGGTGTCGCTCCATTGACTTGTTTTTAATATGAGTGACACCGAACATATATTTATAAATTATAATTAAGTTTGTAATTTTTGATTTTATGGTTAATTAACCATAAGTGCATGCGTAGTATGTACAGTAAGGTTTTTGTTATCCTTTTATTTAATTAAATAAATGGATAGAAAACTTTGCTGTACATACTACGCATGCCTCAAGACTGTCAAGCTGATCTTTGATGTGCGTACATACTGCACATCAAAGGTCAGCCTGGGGATTACAAATGCAAATGTTGGATCCATCTCTTTTCACAAATGTAATTTTGATATTGTTAGAAAAAGAGGTCTGTAGTATCTATCTATCTCTCCAGGTTCATAATACGGCCTCTCAATTGTGTTGAAAATGGCAGTCAAATGTGCGTTCAAAATTTAAATCACTGTCAAACTTGTATCTGGTGTTTGCCCTGTCCTCTGACGTGCTGGAAACGGCTAGCAATATGTGCGCATGAAATTTAAATCACTGTCAAAATAGTTTTAAATATTTAATTAATAAAATTGAAATGAAATAATATTAAAAAAAATGTTTTAGAAATACAAATGAGTACAAAATTATACAAATGAGTACTTTCAGAGTACAGAATTTGAAAAAAGTACGATTTGTGAAAAAAGAGTAAAAAAACTCAGTAAATGAGAATAGCAGGTCACCTTAATTGTCTACATAATTTTTTGGTAGATTTTAAAGTTCTTGCAAAAGATGGTTTTATCTATGAAAATATTGAGTTTAAAATCAATCTTGCTGTTATCATATGTGATGCACCAGCTAGAGCATTTTAAAGTGTATTAAAGGACACAATGGTTATAACTGATATGAATGTTGTGCTTAGAAAGGAGAGTGGTGTGGCAAGATAATTCTCCTACATATTTCACTAATTTTAAGCACTGATTCAAATTTTTTGTCATTAAAAGCATTCCAAACATCTAAGTGGTGTGTTAAATTGAATTAAATTTTGACATGGTGACAAAGTTTCCTTTAGACTCAATGCATCTAGTATGCTTAGGGGTAATGCGAAGATTTTTCAACTTATGGTTAAATTGCCCAAATGTTGTAAATTGTCTCAGATTACAGTCAATACTTTATCTGGCGGAATGTTCCAGATACGTCATTACATTTCAATAAATTTTTATAGAAAATCAAGGTCTTAATTAGATATTAAAAAATGGAAAACAACTAAGCTTAGACTATTTATAGTAAACACTTGACCAGTTGTTTAAAGGGAATGGTTAAGCCAAAAATGTATTCAATTTTTTAGATTTTTCAGTTGAAGTTCTACTTTCATAATGTTTCATTTTGTTGAAAAAATATGTTCATTTTGCTTTTCAGCTACTTATTTTTATATGTGAACTTTGTCATAAGGATCAACTAGTGGACAATGTCCATTCATTAGCACATAGAAAATAATACAGTTAGATTTTAGGTACTTGATAGATGTCCCTCTTTCAAATTCAAAACTTTTTCAGGTCAATTAAAAAATGTTTGTCTAGGGGGCTCATTTGCATATTTAGGGGCCCTTTTACAAATGTAAGGATTTTTTTTTTTTTTAGGATTTTTATTTAGATTTTTGTTTAGTTTTTAGGAATTTTGGGGCCCTTATGACAGGTTTTTTTTTGGAATGGGGGGCTTGTATCTAGTAGCCATGGCACTGTATATAAGGTATATACAATATATATCAAATTATATACAATATAAATAAAAGAATGTATTTGTTTAATAATTTTATATAATTTATTTATCAGTAACTAAAGTAATGTTATCAATTTATTATATGAATCATAAGCATGTGCTTATCTATTACAAGTACCTTTGATGGTGAAAGTTACATTTTTTATCTGAAGAGAGTTGGGAGAAATTGTAAGAGTTTTATAACATATTAAAATTAATGTATTTGTTACCAATAAAATTTAAAACTACCAGTTAAACTTAACTTTTTACAGTTCATATTGAAACGAGATATTGTGTAAAGAGGTTTTCAAAGAAGTCGTTTTAACAACAATGGAAAAGCTTCTGATTCTCGAGATAAACGTGAAAGCATTTGATACATGATTAAAGCACGGTGGTTTAAGCTTGTTATTTTATTGTGAGCATGCGCATAAGTTACAATTAAAAAGTTTCACAAAAAAAATAGCGATATGATTTTTCGGCAAATAATGAAAATTTGTTTTTTTATTCCTTATTAAAGAGGTAATAATTTTTCGTCAATAAACAAGCACTCTACGTTTTTGGAATTTTATATCTTGAAGTGTTTTATCTAAATCATAAAAATTAACGAAAATGTTTGTAAACAAAGAAAATATCTCTGTTCAAAGTAAGAGGTTTTGAAAGTTTAAAAATTAAACATCTGTTAAACAACTTATAGAATATCTTTTTTTTTTAAATTTTTTGGCCAAAAAATTTAATTGATTCAAATTCTGTAAAAAACGCTCGAAAAATCTGTATGTTTGGTTTTACCCGATCATTTTTTTAACTAAAATAAAATGATTTAACGGCAAACTATGTATAAAAATTCCAAAAATTTGTCGCTTACTGGAAAAATTTCTCATCACTAAAAAAACCTTAAGTTGCACGAGGTTTGATGTTATATTATGCAATTCTACTTTCTAATTATGCATGTTGTGAGATACATATTTTTATTTTTTATAAGATAGCACTTGTAACAATTTACAGCGAAAATGTATAAGAGATTTCCGACTTAAAGAATTGCGCTTTTAATTACTGACACCGATATTTGCATATTTTATTGAGAAACAACTTTTACAAGATTTATGATATTCAAAATATTGATAAGCAAACTTGTTTTTAATAATGTAAAGGGTAAACTCTTATTACACAAGACTAAATGTTGTCCATTATGTTTTATTAACTTGAAACTTAAAATAAAAAACATTAACATAAAAATAATAATTTCAACAGTTTAAACATCTTTGTACATTTAACTTAAAAGTTGTGCAAATGTATTAAAGTTTATACCTTTCAAGAATATTTAGCATATTTTCAATATTTTTAGGTAGATTATCTATATATGCCCAAGGAGCATGTTTGATTTCAAGACTACACTTGATATTTTCATTTTGAAATGTAAAATTTTCATCCAACACAATAAGATCATCTCTTGCCCAGGTCTTTGCAACAACTCTTTGTTTACTGTTAGAAGCAGTCTGGACATTTCTTGAATTTAACCATCTATAACATTTAGTAATTTTTTACATAATAATATTCTTTTTCTACAATAATAACCTTTTTCTACATAATAATATTCTCCACATAGTGATATTTTACATTATCAGTGATGGACCTGGTTTATTTGGGGATACATTTTTTACAAGATAAATTATAAAGCTAACCCCTATTTTTAGGAGTAAATAAACTAGGCCTAAATCAAACAGGTCAATCCTGATTATATAAACATCAATAATACATCATTAAATATTTCACTTAAACACATCTTAACATTTACTTGTAAACATTACTCTTTTAATATTTGAAATTCCTTTAATTACTTGAAAAAATGTTTTACCTAGTCATTGTTTTTAATTTATTCCAGGGTATCCCTACGTCAGCTTTAAAAGCAACCAATTCCTCGGCAGAAAGTTGAACAATTCCAATGTTAGCATTTTGCAAAATTTTTCTTTTTTGACAGTAATCAAATGATTTTAGCATAACTGCAGCTTGCATTACTTGTGAATCTTTAGAATTTCCAACCTGATGATTAACTTCCTCCATTAGGAGTCTGTGTCTTTTTTTAAGTGTACTTATACTGCATGATGCACTTTCCTTGTAAGCTTTAGGTGTTACAGTTAAGCAAAGAGGCTTTTAATAAAAAAAGTAAATCAATAATAATTATCAATAAAAAAATCACAATCTCTGTTAAAACGTTTATTTTAAACTTTAGACTAATTTCTTTTTTCTTTAAAATTCTATATAAAAAAATTAAAAATAATTGAATTTCTTACTCTTGGCCCACCAGATAAAAACTCTATTGTTGTTGTTTTTGAATGCTCAAGTTTTTGCTTAATCACATGCACAACTGCAGCTTCGGTATTTTGAGGAACATCACTTGATTTATTGACTTTATAGAAATCATCAATGATTGTGCTGTGCTTGCTTTTTAAATGATCTTTTTGGCAATCATGAACCTCATATGTGTCCTTGAAAAGAACTTTTTTTTTACAAAGTTTGCATGCAATATATGAATGTTTTATCATTTCCAATACATATACAGAACTGCAAAGGCTATTAACCATGATAAAACTTGAACATATAGGACATTTTGCTTCCTTTTCTAGTTTACCTTTAATAAGCAATATAATGCATAGGCTACAAAAAGAATGCTGACAATCATTACTGGTTGATGCATTATTTTTTCACAAATTTTGCAAATGCATAATGTTAAATGTGGATTTAGTTGAAAATTTAACTCAGATAATTGATCTTGTTTCAATGGTAAAGGCAAAGATTCAAGAAACAGATTAAGGGTAAATTGTGTCCATCTTTTAAAAGTTCCTGGCCTTCCAACATTTGGTTTTGGTTTTCGACCAGCTTTACCAAATACACAATCACACACATTTGTTTGACACTTTTGGTATAGGCTTCAAAAGTTTACTACCACGGTTTTCTATATTCACTATTGTTGCATTGCATTTTAAACACATTTGTGTTGGGTGAACATCTAAACAATCTTCAGCAATATTTATTTTAAAAATATTAAAAATTCTTTCACGTCTACTACTGGTTTTTATAGAGTCTTTTCCGGTCAAATTTCCGCAAATTCTGCAGACTCTCAATAATTTTTGCTGATGTTTTTTAGCCATTATCCAAAAAATATTTTTATAAAAACCTCTTGACTAAAAAATGAAAATATATTTCATAAAAAAATGATTGGTAAAAGAAACTTATATTTTTCGAGAGACGAAAAACAGTATTTTTATTAAAAACTAACCTAAGTATCATAAAAATTTTACTTCGTCCATAATTGGCATCTGTATTAAGTGTTATTTTCGGCAATATTCAAGTATAATGTTAAATAATTAAAGTCAATTTTTAAACATTCTTTTCACTTTGATTTTATGCATAAACTAACTCATCCATGTGAAATTCCATTTTAGAAGTCTAAATATTAGCAACCATTTCAATGTTATCTTTTAAAACAGAAAACAAGGTTGGAAGCTATTTAACAACTTGAACACAGTAAACATAAAATTTGAAAACTGGGTAGTTGTATCGGACGCATGCGCATAATAAAATCCCAAGCTTTCATAAGTATTAAATCACCGTGAAAGAATCGTTCAAAAGTTTTGTTTAATTTTGACAGTGTACTTTTAATTACTATTTTTTTTTGAAATAAACCAATCAATTTATATATAAATTTGCTTTTTCTGTAAATTTTAAACATTTAAACGTAGTTTTGCAAGATTTGCAATGGGAAAACTTCGTGGGACCCTCACGGGATACCCGGCTGGCATACCCATATGGGCCCCAGAAGAAAACCACGGCCATGATCCGGCGGGTTCCCGATGGGTTTCCCATATGGGTCCCATTTGCAAACCCAAATGGGTCCTTTACGGTTTTAAAGTACGGGATTTGACTGGGACCCATACGGGATACCCGGCGGGCTAACCCATATGGGTCCCATATGGAAACCGCGGTCATGATCCGGCGGGAAACCGTTGGTCTTTCTATACGGGACCCAGTTGACAACCCGTATGGGCCCCGTACGGTACCCGAATGTCAATGTTGGCTGGGTATATATATATATATATATATATATATATATATATAGACACACACACACACACACATATATACATTTTTGAATATGTACCAGCTTTAGTAAATAAAACAATTTATGTAAGTTGCAATAGTGAGCTTTTGGACAAAACGACAAAAAATAATAGCTGATGTTGAATATTACCAATAAATCGAGCAATATTTCACATTCACCAGAAGAAGTACAATCATTGTATTTAAAGAGTATATCAGATCGAAAACTTTCAACCGAGAGTTTTATTCCATCAGGTGCAAATAATATTGATTGTGAAGTAAACTCTGACAGTAATCTAACAATTTCTGATTCTAAATCTTACCCATTAGAGTCATCAAATTTTTGAAACAATTGATGATGTTAACAATGATAACTAAAAAATGATTTGATGCAGTGGGCAGTTAAGTTTGCTATAACCGATGAAGCATTAGCATCTTTGGTTAAATTTTTGGGTAAATTGTTTCCTGAATTGCCAAAGGATCCACGCACCCTACGTCAAAGTCTTTTGTACCTGTTACCAATATAACTCGAGGACAGTATTGTTTTTTTGGCATTAGACAAGGTATTTTAAGTAATATTTCAAGTTTTTTAAAGAAAAAGGATTGTATATCAATTCAAGTCAACATTGATGATTTACCATTGTTTAAATGCAGCAATCGATAATTTTGGCCGATATTAGGTTTAATAATAGTTTCAGCTACAGCTTCAGGTAAATACAAGTTTTCAGATTGAATAACTGCAAAGTAAATGTGAAAATTAAACATAGGAACATAATAATCATAATACATATCTTAGTAGCGTAATATGACAAAATATCTCACCAATAGGCAGATTTTCAGCGGATATAGTCTCAGTTACATATTCAGACAAACATGTTTATTCAGATTGATCAACTACAAAGTTAAGATGATTATATTATGTCGCTATATATCAAGTTTTACTTTATTTGCAATTATAGGAAAACACAAAAATCACTTACGAATGGTCATATATATATATATATATATATATATATATATATATATATATATATATATATATATATGTGTGTGTGTATATATATATATATATATATATATATATATATATATATATATACATATATTTATATATATATATATATATATATATATATATATATATATATATATATATATATATATATATATATATATATATATACAATTATTTTATTAATAGTTTTATCAATCAATCGCCAAAGTACTATTATAAAAAGTTTGTTTGATAGTATATTTTTTATAGAAATTACAACAATAACTTAAACGCAAGTAATTGAAATTTTATAAAAAGTCTCTTCGGTATATTCTGGAACTTTAATTCATAGCCAGCATGTTTTGTGAACCAATAGAATTCATTTATTTGTAGCTTTGGTGGTATTTTTGTGTTAGCAAATATTATTTTTATTATCTTTCCCGCAACAAAATGTTTTGAGAACATTCAAGTTTATCCATGTTTCTATCTATGTCCGCATAACAATAAAGTTATAAAACTCACGCAAAAAAAGTTTATTTACCGAATTTTACCGAAGTTTATCGAATAGTCGGTTAACCGCATATTGACGGGAACTGTTATCCGGTTTTGTAAACGGTAAACCGGCAAAATCACTACCATCCGAAATCTCATCATTCTTGTTGTAAGTCAAGGAAGACTCTCGTAATGACACATTTTCAGATTGATCAGCTGTAAAGCTAAGATGATTATGTTATGTCCCTCTTTATTACATTATTTTATGGAAATAATGGTAGAAAGGTTAAAATAATTCAGCTGGAGATAAGAAAAATATATTACCAATAAGCGATTCGTAAATAGTTTTGGAAGTCATATCAGATTCTGGCAGACAAAGATTCGCAGATAGATTGTCTCTAAAAAAACAAAATTTTAATAAAATTAGATGTGACGGCAAAATAACAAATCGGAACAGCCAGCTCTAGTGTTGAATCGAATTTTTCTTTGTTTAAAATCATCTTACCTGTGTTCGCCACATGCTCTTTTTGATTACCATCCACAGATTTTTGATCGAGCGTCATTTCTACCAAACGTTTACCTCGTTTTCGATTGTTCATATTCAATTTTCACAAGAAAATGTCACTTTTTCGATTACGTTTTCGATTGTTCATATTCAATTTTCACAAGAAAATGTCACTTAAACACATTTAAAATTAATTTTAAAACGCAAAACGAACAAGAACACAACCACAACATAACCTTTGCGTTGTTATGTTTTGACAGTTATGACCACGCTGCGACGCGCTTACTACCATAGACGTTAAAAAATAAGAAAAAATATGCATAGATGAAGCAATTATGTGCGTCGCATAACTCCTTTATCCTGTGTTTTTTTTGTGCGGGATTTCGTCACAATGGATGAAAGCGTTATGTCCCCAATACGCCTTCACCTGTATTTGAAAAACAGCGTTTTTAATGGATGAATGTATGAATGTGATGCAGTTGAGGATGGAACTAGTAAGTCCCTTAACACTTACATCCGCGTTAAATCGTGTTACGGGTGAATTAATATGTAACATAACTCCTTCATTCACTGTTAAAATCGTATTTTAGCACATTTTTGAGCAGTGTAATTATGTTCATGTGAAAGAGCTTTACTTAGCACCTTTATTTGAGTAGAAAGTACAGTTTTCTATTTTTGCGACATAACGCCTTCATCCACTTATGTTTTCAATTTTAAGAAGTATTTTATGAAGCATTTAGATCCATCAAAAGCTTACAATAAAAACTATTGACTTTTTTGGGGAAGTTGTTTGCAATTATATAACTATTGCAAATAATTTTGGAAGGATGTTTTGGGAATAACTATTATTGTCCAAATGTTGATTTCTTGATTTAATATGAAAATTCAGTTTCAGTTATGAAAAATGTTTTAAGTGATTCATAAATTGCTCTTGTGGGTATGATTATTTTAAAGCAAGTAAAGACTTTCATAAAAAATACTGCGATTGCAAGGTAAAGTGACATTGCTACTAAAAGCAAGTTTAGGGTAAATGGGCCATATAAAAAATATTTGTTTATTTTCAAAAAAACAAATGATTATACAAATAATTAAATGCAGCTTGTTAAGAAAAAGTTAATATTTCTTCTAACAAAAAATTTCTTCTAACAAAAAAATTCAACTAAAATTGCATTATCAATAAAGGTAAATTAACTAATATTTGGTTTAATTGGTAGATTAAACAAATACATAAATACTAATTATCTATAATAAGCAGCGTTATTTTCTATACTACCCACTCACCTCCTCAATATATATAAAAAGGTGGGGGATGCTTTTGCTCTAAATTTGAACCCACACCTTGTGAGATGTGGGGCCTCTATTCGTTCTGCAAAATGCTAAAAAAACATTGTAAGATATCTAAAATAAAACAAAATTAAATTAAATAATGACACGAAAAAAAGTAAAAAAGGTAATGATCAACTGTACCACATATATGGCTTTCATGATGAACAGCTGTTCCAACTGGTAACTGGTCCAGAGCAATGACCTGACAGTTGTTTTTATATGTCAGATGAACTGTGTTGATATGAACACCTTCTTGTGTTGTTGCATCGAATCCAAGTGTAAGATAAGAATTACTCATACCCCATTCTGCTGCCTACAGTTCTGCTATACTGCCTAGCTCACGAGCCAATTGTTCGATAGTACAACGATCAGGAATGTCCATAAAGTTAACATCCAAATACTGCCCAATTTTTGAAATTAGGAATTGAATATTACCGGTTAGAACATTGGCTAATAACATGCTATAAATTATCATCCTCATTTTTAAAGGGTAACTCTAATCGTCTTCTGACATATTAACCTTTGGAATTTTCCCCTCTTTTATCTGGAAAATATCATCCTCTAATTGAGCAATTAACATTTTATTTGCCTTACCATCATTATTATGTTTTACTGTTATTTGCATTAAGTTTTGTTATTCTTTTTCTGTCACCACCTTGTTTTTTTGCTTTAAGATTGCGAAATAACCTACTGTAATGATAAGTTTTAATTTGTTTTTTTAGTTCCCTAACTTCTGTCCTTAAAGCTTTAATAATTTCTCCTTTCCTTTTTACACTTTTCTTAAATATTTTTATCTTATATGGCATGCTATTGTATTTCAATTTAACTTTTGCTACTTTTTTCTTGTAGTCTTTGGTTAAGATAGCTAACTGAGAAGACAAATATGATAACCTAGTGATGAGTTTAGCTTTTTATAGGGTTAGTTCTTCTCCAGATCCATGCTTTTTTTATTTTCTATGGAAATTTCAGACGATAACCATTTGTCATTAACTAGGGGTAAAACAGCCATATGTTCATGGGATGACAGAACAGAAGACCCTGAAACGGTAACCGATGAACTAGTCTGATTAAGATGTATTGCCTCTTTCAATAACATGTTTAGTAAACGGTATGCAAAGGGCTGGTTACAAAATTTAATAAATTTTGAAAAACCCCAATCATAATTTTTAACCAATTTTTGGTAAACATAAATAATATATATAAAAATAAATAAGTAAACATTATAAAGTATATGTTTACCAGTGTTAAAGCTAAATAACTGATTGACTTGTTTAAGAGTATTAACAATGGGCTCACCGTTATTAATGAATAAAAGAATTAAATGTCCATTTTGACAGCGTGTAGGTGTTTCGCCATGCAAAGTAAAGTTTACAGCTAAGTCTGTTTTCACTGCATCCGTAAAAATAAGTCCACTTTTTTTTAGACCTTTAAATCCTTTAAAAATATAAATATAAAGAGTTAATATGCAATAGTTTTAATTAAATTTTTTGAAAAGTAAACAAATATAGAATAATTGTTAACAATTAATAAAATAATAATACAACATGTAAAAAAAGTATTAAATAATATAGACTTAAAAAATTCATACATACCATTCACAAACAAGTAATGGCTACGTAAATATAATATTTAGAAACTGTAAACATAAGTTAAACTGGTTTAAAATCAAATAATATTTATATGCAATAGATAAGATAGGCATACACATATTAGAAACAATACTTTTACACATATATATTATGCATACACATATATATATACACATATAATAATAGTTTATAAACTTAACATGCAGCTGAAGATGTAACTAAAGGTTAACAAAGTTAAAATAAAAATAAATATTGTGAAAAATGCCAATAAATGCATTAACAGATTGAAAAGTAAAAGTTTGTAAACATACCAATTATAGCAGATGTAGATAGAACTAAGTTAAACAAAATGTTAATAAAAAATAAATATTGCAATTGATCCGAAATACATACATATATGAACAGGATTTTTTGAAGGATGCAATAAAAATATTTTTAAGCTTACCACTCAATGCAGTTGAGAATGGAACTAGGACTAAAAAGTTTAAAGAATAAATAAATTTGCAATTGTCAAGAAATGCAAACATTAAAAATTAATAATTGTTAAACTTACCACTCATTGCAGATGAAGATGTTGCTAAAAGTAAAAACAAGTAATAAAAAATAAATGATGCAATTTACGACTTTGAAATTGGTATTAAATTTATTTACAAATAAAAAAGTACTAGCTTTTAAAATAACTAACCATAGCAGCTAATAAAAGGAGAAGATATCAAAAGTAATATAAATTAAACCAAGATATACATGCTTATATTTGATATTCAATTTATTCTATACGAACTTACCAGTGGTAGGCTGGGTAGATCGAACTATAAATAACAAAAAAATGTGTATAATTACAACAAAACGCTATGAAATTATGAAAGTAACTATCATAGTTCTGTGGAAGATGCAACAACTTTATCAACATAATGAAAACTAACAGTGGAAATATAAAGAAAGTATGTTAATAAACAACAAGCTAACATTAGGAATGGTTATTCACTTTGTTTATAGATTAATTAAGTTATTTTGGTTGTGGTTATATATGAAATACATGATTTATACTTACGGAATCTCAATAAATTTTTTGCTATGTCTAGCTGGATCTGAACAAAAAGTCAACATTAGGCATGCTTGTTTTATTATTTAAATAATAATCTACAGATAAAAAAGTATACAATCCAAAAAGAATAAAAGATAATAATAAGTTGATAAGTTTTATCATATTTGAAAAATACTAATAAGTCTTTTGCAAGGAATAAACCAATGAAGTATCTGATTTGTATACTTATTTATATGTTTTGTCTTTATAAAATTGTCAACAGATACTATTAGTTAACAATCCATTTAAAAGCAAAAGTTTTTAACTGAAGCATTAATCTTCTTTTTTTATGTAACATATAAAAACAGATTAGGAATAAATCTGTTTTTATGTTACATAAAAAATCAAAAAATATTCATAAATTGTTTATGAATATTTTTTGATTTAAATTAGTTATTATTGATGTTGTTATAAAAAAAGTTAAATTTATTACCTGTTAGAGATTCAAGAAAAGTTCTGTTATCAGAACTCATGTTTTTAATCATTTTAATCTTATAATAAAAATCAAAATAATACAATATTAGAATAATTTTTTTTTTTTTGTTGAGTCGGCCCCTCTCTCCGCCCCCGTATTTCGCCTAACAAAAAAAACAACAGAAAAACCAAAATTAGGTGCCAAAAGTTCTATACTAATTAAACTATCTGCGCAGCTTCATTTTTAGTTGAAATTTGGCATGTGCATATAAAATGCATGTAGAAAATTATCTAAATAATAAAAAAAGGGGGATCAATATTTCCACTACTAAATATTCCTGTGAGAACATCAACCATATTTTCAGGAGCAAAATAATCCATAAAAATGTTAAGTAACCATACATAAATGTCATATATAAATTAAGATTAACTTTTCTTCTTTCTAAAAAGTATCTATGTGCATATATGTTTCTGAAAAGAAACTCTATAAAATTACGTCTGCCTCATGCTATCTAAAATAGAGTTAAAAAATCGAGACCCAATAATTTAGCATAAAAATCGTTTTCGTAAATTGCGATTTCCGCGTACCTAAATATATACTATAATATATAAAAAAATTTAATTATATACCTTTCTAGTTTTACAACGGCACAAGATGTGCTCTATTTAACAATTGATGATGCTACATTAAAAATCTCAGTCATAACATAAAACAATTGCTACTTTACAAGTACATGATGAAATATCAGTTTATCTAAAATTTAATTAAACACCTTTCTAGTTTTACAAAGACACAAAATGTGCCCTACTTAACAATTGATGATGCTACATTAAAAATCTCTGTCATTACATAAAACAGTTGCTAATTCACAAGTACATGATGAAAATATCAGTTTATCTAAAATCAAATCTTGATACTCCTTACTTTAAATTTTACAACGTCCTCGGTTCATAGATTTTACTCTTTCTAAAAGATTTCCTTATTTTCTTAAGATTAAATTTCTCTGAAGAAGAGGAAGACTTAAGTTTATTTTATTCCACAAAGTACCTAACACTAATTCTATCTCTCAACCTCTTGTAGTAGATTTTGTTTTAAAATACTTTGGTTATTGTTTTCAGTGAAATATAAAATTTAATTGCTTGACGAAATGTTGGAAGATCAGCTAAAGACATTTCTGATACATATATGTTCATACATATATATATACATACATATATATATATATATATATAAGTATATATATACATACATATATATATACATACATATACATACATATATATATACATACATATATATATCCATATATATATATATGTGTGTATATATATATATACACATATATGTGTGTGTGTACATATATATATATATATATATATATATATATATATATATATATATATATATATATATATATATATTTATATATATATTTATATTTATATTTATATGTATATATATACATATATATATATATATATATATATATATTTATATACATATTTATATGTATATATATACATATATATATACGATTATATGTATATATATATATACATATTTAGAAATATATATATTTACACTGTTAACATCTAGTTATAAATTACAAGAAGCACAAAATAATTGAAGTCATTAGATTTGCTTTTCGTATTATCTATCAAACACATCAAGTGATACAACTCACCGCATTTCTAACTGAATCATTTTTCCAACAGCAGGCATTCGACTAGTACGTAAATTTTTTTTTACGTCAATGCGGCTGACACCACCATTTTCTACACATATATTCTCTGTAGGAAACATGGAGAGATCCTGTTCTTCAAGGCTCTTAAATAAGTGAACCCTCGTTTTGTTTAAATACACAATGATCTAGTTGTATGTAATAAGTTAAAGCTGCAGCAAACGCAACAGCAAATAAGACATAATCATTGCCTCCTTCTGTTAAACACTTATAATTTTAATGGTAATATTTTTTTTCAAAATAGCAGCCATCTGTTTTTTGCCATGATTACTCAAAGAATGCAACATACTATCATAAATAAAAACTTCAGTAGCTTTTTGTGCCCCAATATTGCTAACGGTAAACCAGTGTACGTAGCCATCATGAAGCACTTGTATTAAGTTCATACTCATAGCAAAAAACTTCTATTTATTCCAAAAAATTGGATCTTGAAATCCAGAAATTACCAACTGTTTATGCAAAATTTTCT